ATGCATCGGAATTTACCTGTTACGTAAAAATTATAAAAGGAGTGGGGCAGTCTTTTTATATTATAGACAGATTTGTATTCTATCCTAATCATTTTCCAATACTAACTGTTGGTCAATTACCATTTTAATAGTCAAATAGTCTTTTAAAATATATAGTCCATACGGTTCAACTTGACAATGAAATAATGACTTTAAACAAGCAATCTTTTGAATTAATATATTTTCTCTAAATTATATCAATCAAATATCAAGATTCAAGATTTTTTTCAAAAGGCATAAACATTTTATAATGTCCGTCGCCATAAGCAAAATGACGGTTACAAAAATAGTAAACGAGAAAAGTATGTAGTGAACTGAATTCAAATTATCTATACAATAACATTTTTATATTATAAAGCAACACAAATACATAGTATTTCAATATACATGTATGTTTGAAAATAATAATATACTATATATAAACAATATCAATATTTGAAAACAATCAATTATTCGTTCTATCACGTAATACATTTGCGAAGTAGATAAACTTTGAAAATCTGTTAACAATTCCATGCTTAGGATTTTTCATTGAAAATATAAATTTATTTATAGTAGGCCAAGAGCAATAATATTGAGGTAATTATTATTTCCTTACTTCCCTATACAATGAGCAAACCAGTATAAAAATGATATTCTGTTTTGAAGATAAGTGTTATTGAATTTGGAAAAAAACTGTGAAATGAAAACACCTATTATATCAAGAAATAAATACAGCATTCTGCTTTCAATACTGTATATTTGAATGGCGTCACGACAAAACAAACTTTGTGCGTTTGCGACCAGCATGGATCCAGACCAGCCTGCGCATCCGCGCAGTTTAATCAGGATCCATGCTGTTCGCTTACCAACTCTATTACAAGTAGAGAAACTGACAGCGATCAGTATATGGATCCTGATCAGACTGCATGGACGCAAACGACCTGTGTTGGTTTTTTCATGACGCGGCTCATATTTAACAAGGAAGTTGTCATTCTGACAATTTTAAACATGTACAGGTCAAAAAAGATCTCGTAATTTTCAATAGAATGTTGAAAAGAGTTGAATAGAATTGAAAATATTTGCTCAGTTCAGACGGTTTATCTATGATTCATAGTTTGGTTAAATCAAGTTATACATGAAGAAGGTGTAACAACCACGCTTGACAACCAATGTGGGCTAACTAGACAATGCGTCACGGAATTGTGTATAGCTTCCGGACGTTTGACCCCACACGAACTTTTGAAATAACTTTAGAAATAAACTCATCATTAAAGTATCACTAATTTTGTAAAGACCGGAAAAAAAATATGGTAAAATAATTAAGTTACGTGTTATCATCTATGACATCAAATTAAAAAAAATATATATATAAAAGGAAGAAAATAAAAGAATATTAAAGAATACATAATTAGTAAAAAGGTATTGCATAAATTTGCTTAATACTGTGAGAGTGTGCTTGCTTCAACTATGGTCAAATGTTAATATATTGACATCCTAATTCTTTTTTTTTTAAATAAACTTTGATAATTTTCTCCTAACAAAAGAGTCAAAAGATAAGGGTCATTAATTAGGACACTTAAGATATCAGTTTTTATTACGATATTCAATGTACAGGAAGATTATCATGAATAAAATTTATAAAATTCTAGAGAGATAAACACCTATTTCATACTTCATGTATATGTTTACATTGACAACAAATTAACTGGATGTATCTATTTAAAACATATACATCTTTTAAAAGATAGCATTAAAACTTACAGGATATATGTAAAATGAAAACTGGCCATAAAATAAGTATATAGTCAAGATTTGAAAGTTGATTTGGATTGGTGTATTTATTTGTGTAACCCCTTTTCATTTAATTTATAAATATTTAACTAAATAGGCAGCCGTATTTTGTATATACTTGTTCGTAGCTTATAATTGTAGAAACAAATGCTATAATAACTATCAAAATGTTCAAGTTAGACAAATATATATCGTCTGGTTCCCTGCCTACATTTACTACTAGAAGTAGTGTAAGGGCAGGGAACTCCAGACTGTAAGGGGAAGGAACTTCAGACTGTAAGGGGAAGGAACTCAAAACTGTAAGGGGAAGGAACTCCATATTGTAAGGGCAGGGAACTGCAGACTGTAAGGGGAAGGAACTTCAGACTGTAAGGGGAAGGAACTCCAGACTGTAAGGGGAAGGAACTCCATATTGAAAGGGGAAGGGACTCCAGACTGTAAGGGGAAGGAACTCCAGACTGTAAGGGGAAGGAACTCCAGACTGTAAGGGGAAGGAACTCCGTACTGTAAGGGGAAGGAACTCCAGACTGTTAGGGGAAGGAACTCCAGATTGTAAGGAGAAGGAACTCCATATTGTAAGGGGAAGGCACTCCAGACTGTAAGGGGAAGGAACTCCAGACTGTAAGGGGAAGGAACTTCAGACTGTAAGGGGAAGGAACTCCAGACTGTAAGGGGAAGGAACTCCATATTGTAAGGGCAGGGAACTCCAGACTGTAAGGGGAAGGAACGCCAGACTGTAAGGGGAAGGAACTCCAGATTGTAAGGGGAAGGAACTCCATATTGTAAGGGAAAGGAACTCCAGATTGAAAGGGGAAGGAACTTCAGACTGTAAGGGGACGGAACTCCATATTGTAAGGGGTAGGAACTCCAGATTGTAAGGGAAAGGAACTCCAGACTGTTAGGGGAAGGAACTCCATATTGTAAGGGGAAGGAACTCCAGACTGTAATGGGAAGGAACTCCAGATTGTAAGGAAAGGAACTCCAGATTGTAAGGGAAAGGAACTCCAGATTGTAAGGGGAAGGAACTTCATATTGTAAGGGGAAGTAACTCCAGACTGTTAGGGGAAGGAACTCCAGATTGTAGGGGAAAAGAACTCCAGACTGTAAGGGAAGGAACTCCAGACTGTAAAGGGAAGGAACTCCATATTGTAAGTGGAAGGAACTCCAGACTGTTAGGGGAAGGAACTCCAGATGTGTAAGAGGGGGATCTGCAGATTGTAAGGGAAAGGAACTCCAGATTGTAAGGGAAAGGAACTCCAGATTGTAAGGGTAAGGCACTCCAGATTGTAAGAGGGGGGTCTTCAGACTGTAAGGAGAAGGAACTCCAGACTGTAAGAGGAGGATCTCTAGATTGTAAGGTGAAGGAACTCCAGATTGTAAAAGGGGGATCTGCAGACTGTAAGGGGAAGGAACTCCAGATTGTAAGAGGGGGATCTGCAGACTGTAAGGGGAAGGAACTCCAGATTGTAAAGGAAAGGAACTCCAGATTGTAAGGGGAAGGCACTCCAGATTGTAAGAGGGGGATCTGCAGACTGTAAGGGGAAGGCACTCCAGATTGTAAGAGGGGGATCTGCAGAATGTAAGGGAAAGGAACTCCAGATTGTAAAGGAAAGGAACTCCAGATTGTAAGGGGAAGGCACTCCAGATTGTAAGAGGGGGATCTGCAGACTGTAAGGGGAAGGAACTCCAGATTGTAAGAGGGGGATCTGCAGACTGTAAGGGGAAGGAACTCCATATATTTTGGCAAAGCATAAATAGATAAAAGTATTAATTCATAAAAAGATTGGAACAGTCTTGTTTATTTTTAGACACATTTTTTACATTTTACTTTTTCATTTACATTTCCTAATATCAACCGACAACTCAATCTTTTGAAATATATGGTCCATTCAGCAAAACCTGACGGTAGCAAGTTGAACATAATGACACTTTAAACGAACTAAACCATCATTCATTTTTGGTGCTTTTCGGAAAAAACATGATTAAAATTAAAAGTTATAAACAGTATTTGGCCAGGCGAAACTGCACGGATACAACCAGTTTTGCAATAAAACGAGTTACTGCAATACTTTATTGCAAAACTAGTTGCGATGACACAAATTTGTTGCAATTTTTTTCACAACCAGTTTTGCAATAAATGTTTCTTATACCAGATTCGTATAAAGACTATACTCTAAACATAATTATGTTTAATATATTTTTTATATCTATATATAAGAATTGACATGCAGTGAATTTATTCAACAAATTTGTATACATAATTAGCATCACTATCCATTCTAAGCTCAAGCATCTATACAAAATATATGATATTAAAATTGAATGCTGTTTTGAAATAGATATCATCACATTGACATTATCAACAAAAACAACTGTACTTTCGTGTAAATGTTATAACAAGATTATTGCAAAACTCTTTGCGATGACATTATTTTGTTGCAATCGTTTCACAACCAGTTTGGCAATAAATTATCCTTACCGGTCTATAAGATTTCATATACAGATTACACTCTAAACTTTCTAATGTTCATTAAAGTTGTATTTATGATCTGACATGGAGGATTTCAGATTATACAGCCGGCAAAGGCGTTTTACTTTCAATTTCAAATAGTTAAATAGTGATTCGAATTCAACAAGTTGTTTGACAATTAAGGAAGTTTAACACTGTAAAAACGAAAGCTTTATCAAATTTCATAAAACTGTAATTATTTTCAGGCAACGCAAATTGAGGTTTTAAAAATGAAACGGGAAACCTGGGCCTGTCTCGCCGGTGATGGGGGGCCCGTAGAAAGTATTTTGGGCATTAAGAAAATGTCTTCTTTAAAACAGGCTCACTAAAAACAGTTTATACTTTATATCTTTCTTTCCCAACAAAATACGTTTTAAAAAAATTCGAGCGGGCTTTTTTTTTGATGTTTAAATTGCATCATATGTCTTTTTTACAATTACCATGGAATTAAAAAATCACTTTTTTATAAAAAATTATTTTTGGGCCTTTAACATAATCTTTTTTTTTAAAAAAATTTAACAAAAAACATTTGATTTTCTTTCTTTTCTTCTTTTTGTCTTGGAAAAATTTTACAATATTTTATCACTTTCATTTCTCGGGGTTCTCTATTTTTTTTCATTTTATCATAAGATCATTTAAACGTTTCGAAACACTGAGAAAATTTTTTTAAACCATTTTTTTAAAAATAAAACTTAAAAGGGTAATGTAGGTCATGCAGTTCACAAAACAGATCTATGTTTCGTTTTGAAACTTTTGTAGAACTTGTCAAATCATCTCTGTTGCCTCGATGTATTCCTACTAGAACTTTTGGAATATGTTCGCCTACGCATTCCTTTACATCATCCATCCTAAAAAGAAATAGTAACACATCGTTAAGTTTCTTAGAATGATATAAATCGAGTAATGATCTTAATCTAAGCCAAACGGACACGCAGTTGAGCACCGTATAGGACGGGTAAAGGAGAGGAAAATGTTATGAGCAAAGCAAATATGTTTAATAATAGTACATATCGACGAAACACATAAATCAAGAAAATTATAGAAAGTTAATAAAATCGCCCAAAGTCGTTAAAACAATAACTGCAATATGAAAAACAAAATTTAAAATAAAAAAGTTTATTTTTTTATTTTTGTTTTGCTTTGTTTTTGTTTTACAGCGTACAGACACAATTTAGGTCATATGGTTCAAAGCAACACTATGGGTCAAAACCAACCCACCTTCTGGAGCTAAGTGATGCATAGGCTCAAGTTATTCAAACCCATTTAGACGCCTTTAACAGGGATACACGGTGGCTACAAAACTATCTTTAGAGATTGGTGCAGAGACCCTAGAAATTTGTAGTAAACAGCGTGATTAGCACAAGAGGGCGTCACGTTCTTTATTCACAGACATATGGTCCTAAAAAGTGTAACCTTGTTACTAGTAAGTGAAACATTGGACTAGAAGACATATCGAATGCTCCCCAACGCTCTTTAAAACTCTTCCAGTCATTATGAACGAGCACTTGTACCTTAATATGTTAAATTATTGTGCGCCCCGGATAGTTACAATAAAGTGGTCGAAATGGTTTTTAAAATTAAACTATTGCCAGTTACCCGATGCTACTTATATTCTGAAGATACAACCATTCTTTTTATAAAATGAGCCGCGTCAGGACAAAACCAACATAGTGGGTTTGCGACCAGCATGGATCCAGACCAGCCTGCGCATACGCGCAGTCTGATCAGGATCCATGCTGTTCGCTATCAGTTTCTCCACTTGTAATAGAGTTGTTAAGCGAACAGCATGGATCCTGATCAAACTGCGCGGATGCGCAGGCTGGTCTGGATCCATGCTGGTCGCAAACGCATTACGTTTAATGGTTCAGTAAATTATAATTATTAGAAGAATACCTATATAATCAGAGCTCTGTTCTGTAGAATTGAAACATCTACATTTCATTATGAATCAGTTTGATTAAATGCAAATGAGCCGTGTCATGACAAAACCAATATAATGGGTTTGCGACCAGCATCGATCCAGACCAGCCTACGCATCCGCGCAGTCTGATCAGGATCCATGCTGTTCGCTATCAGTTTCTCCACTTGTAATAGAGCTGGTAAGCGAACAGCATGGATCCTGATCAGACTGCGCGGATGCGCAGACTGGTTTAAGTTGGTTTTATCATGACGCGGCTCAAAAATTTAGATGTAAAATGGAAGTAAGTTAAAATGCCTTTATATACCAACTTAAACAACTTATCAGTACAGGAGAAAGTAGTCCCTTACCAGTTTTTCAGTCCATCAAATGAAGCTGTTTTCATAAGATCGAAACAAACAAGGCATCCGTGTGTACCTCTGTAGAAGGAATATGTCAGACTACGATATCGTTCTTGGCCTACAATAAAAATCAGACAATTGCTTATTTTCATATAGATTTTTACAGACTATATGGCCAAATTCAACGGTTATTAGCATATATAACCCAAGACTTATAGTAAACAACCGCAAGTTACACAACCTTTCAAAAATATTATGTGTTGTTTTATTTATTCATTTTATATTTTGTTTTTAACAAAAAGATTGGCTTCTTCGATAAAAAAAATATCATAAATTTGCTGTAGCTTGAAACATTTTTTTTTGCTTCATTTCATTTCTGCTATATTTCATATACCTATATACATATTATGAACGTTTTGAATGGTCAATATATTTTGACTTGCAAAACTTCCAATAATGATTTTCCCAAAGAACCTGTAAATTACTCGTGTTTAAATCCACAACACCATCAAATACCTGAGTCATATTTTAATGGTATGTCCTTGAAAATCCTAAAATGACTCATAACTACACAATAGTGGTAAGTACATGTAGTAAGTTAATATCTTATTGAAGCGACACGTATGTGACATTTTACAAATATAGACACGAAATAATTTTAACTATAATATTGGTATCAGTTTAAAAAATTATGAAGTAATAATTATAAATGCATGTATATTGAACTTTTTATCGAGTTAAGGAGTTGTTTACGGCGCTACCAACCCGCACCGTTTATTTCTTCTTTATCTACATACATAATTAGAATGAATCATGTTTGACATTATGTGCATGCATTGACTTTGTTGGAAAAAATATTCTGTAATGCATGTAAAACATTTTTCAAAGTCATTGAAACTAACACATTTCAATGTAGAAACAGGCAGGTGATTCTCACTAATCATTACCATCCCCACATAAAAATGAACACAATAAAATAAATTATATTTACATGTGTCAAAAAAAATTAACTTGATAGAAAATAAAGAGCAATAACACAATCCTGCTGATGGTTATTTCGCAGTCATATCTTTATATATTACCATGACTGTCCGCCCGCCAACTAAATAAGGCGAGCATCGGGATTTAAAGGGAGATCATCAGGTTTTAAAGGGAGATCATCGGGTTTTAAAGGGAAATCATCGGGATTTAAAGGGAAATCATCGGGATTTAAAGGGAAATCATCGGGTTCTAAAGGGAGAGCATCGGGATTTAAAGGGAGAGCACCGGATTTGAAATTGAGTGACTATGGTTTGATCCTCGGACACCACTGCGTAATAATTGACAACAATTGACATATAGTCTAAAAATCATTTTTCAGAAGGCAATTGTGATTAGTAATTTAACAAGGAATTAATGTACGAGTATCTTTATTTTTAGGAAACAGTATTTTAAATTTACTTTCAAATGTATTGTTTGTTAAAAGGAGTAAAAATAGATGTCTGTGCCATTTATCTTACGATTGTTTATCAACGTCAAATATATATAATGATCATAAATCTACTAGTATCCTTATGAAAGATATCACGGTGATAGGGTGATTACCACAACTTTTCCGCGCAACGTCAAAATATCGTCCCTCTGACCGAGACACCGTATATTTCTGGACAAAATATTAATGGCGGGAGAAACAAATTCCAGGTAATAGCTTACGAAATATCTTACTGCTGGACATTGCAAGATTATTCCAATTGTTTAAGTATTCCATCGAATTTTTTGAGACAATTTATTGTTAATCTAGCACAATACAATTCACACAAAAACACATACTTCGAAAGAAATAGTGTTTACAAAAGATCGTGTGGTACCTCAACATGACTCGTACTTGTCACAAAAAACATGTGTTATAACGACAATGTCTTTGTTCTATGAACATAACGAGCTCGTATATTTATTATGGTTAACCCTAAGTTCAAGTTCCGTACAAAATTATGTGTTTCTATCGTAAATTTCAGGGAATATTTGTTGAAAAAAGCCTACTGACCCGAATATTGGAGCACCGTACAACACTGAATTCAAACACCGCATTCTTTTTCCGTTAGACCGATAAATACTGGAACCGTCTTCTTTTGAATTATACAATAATCTTACACATATGTTTTATAATAACTTTTATTTGATGAAAGTTTGATGAAAGATTGTTTACTTGCTGTTATGTTATGTTGCTGTTATATCATACGTTATGTTATGGAAATTTTCTGAAGGTCTGATCTGTGTTAATACTACCAGTTAGATAAGTGCAATGGTATCTATATATAGATAAGGATGTCTTTTCCTTTTCGAACTTATTCAAACTGATAAACCCCACATGGAAAGATTGAAGTTCTTGGCAGACTATCAAACAACATCGAGAAACAAAAGGAATGAACTATTTGCTAATGGGAATTTCTTATATTGCATACTAATTTGATAAAGTTGCAAAAGTCATAACACAAATTTTCATGGTGTAGTTTTTGCAGGAACCCGGGCAATATTTCCATAATCTCTTCAGTCATCGTCTCCAATGTGCTTTTTTTTAAAACAATCTTTTGCGAAAGTTTGACTTCATATCCTTTTTCTTATGTGGTGCGTTACGCATATCGTCCTGAAATACAGGGAGGCTCAGATCCATTGGCGTACTGCTGATATCAGAAGACTTAGTTGGGCGCTCTCCAGTTGCTGCAGTATCTGCAGCTTGCGCAATTTCGCACGTTGCTTTGGCTTTTTTCAGACATAGGTTTGAACGTCTTCATTTTCTGAAAGCAAAACATTAATATAAAAAATCAACGGTGCTAAAAAGACAAAAAACTGCGGTGATTTTAAGGAGGAATAATGCGGTGCCCAAATCTTATGATTGACAAAGTTGTGCGGTGCCTTAAAATACACACGTGGAAACATAAAAATCATACCAAATATACAAAAAAACGGGTTATTTATGTATTGTAACTTGTTCATACGACAATAATGTACATATTTATATTGTATTTTGACCAGTTATATGAACTTAACGGACTAGAAATACGTTATATTTCGTAATCAAGGCAAGGTTTTTTCCAGTATGCCCTAAATGTTTTCACTATCCTGACTTAATTGATGAAGCATTTTGCATGTAGTAAAGATAAATAAGCTTCAAATTAAATGGCACATTCGATGAAAAAGAAAAAATGATGATTTTACCTTGTTTTGAGCAAATTATATGCTGTTTTCGTCTCGGTTACAGGCTTGCTGTCCATTTTGTACCACAGAAATATACGGTGTCTCGGACAGAAGTAAGATATTTTGACGTTGCGCGGAAAAGTTGTGGTAATCGCCCTATCACCGCGGATATGGGAAGGTGATTGTACAGCCATTTTAACATATTTCGGTTATATAAAGGCGGTCGGTCATTTTTACCGCCATTGTTAAATAATGAACCTCAAACTAGCAATTTCTCCGGAAATGAATACTTAAGGTGTAAAAATACCAGCAACAAAAATGGGAACAATTAAACACCATCAAGAACACAAAAAAATCAAATAATACAAAAAAAGAACAACAATATTTGAAAACATGAAAGATAAAATTTTACAAATTACCGTTTGTGTCGTGAATTTCGAGAAATATTTTCTCTCCGTGTCTGTCTATTTCATGTATCTCAAAAGGCGATTTTCCAAGGTCCATTTTGCCAATATATTTTCTTAGAAGCGTCGTCTTTCCAATATAGCAATCGCCTATTATCACCAACTTGAAGTCGGATTTTCTTGTGTTGATCATTATTGTTTTTGTTTTCACTTCATAATGAAGATGCTCTCGAGATGTTCACTGTAAACAAACAACATACATACCGATTTGAACATGCATTTGAAATATCAGAAAACTAAATTAACAATCTAAATCCGAATAACTGTACAAATGAAATTCGTCACATCCAGTGTTGGACATTTATAAACTTTTAATACGTATGTATTGAATTTACAAGAAAAGGAATAAATCATTTTAACAAGAGAACGGTGATCGCGCAATAATGTCGTATGAACATATCTGCAGATGTTTCCAAATCTAAAATTTTACCCTTTTCGTGACTGTTTAAATTTTGAATTCTGACAAAGTCTGTGGTAGGGGGTGTGGACAGAAACCTACAATTTTGAGAACTGTCCATGAACAGGCTCGATCGAACCGAGTCTACATTTTAATTTTGTCGTTGTTAGCTTTCTTTAGGGATTCTGTTTTCTTCTATTTTGAATGGTTATCATAGATAGTCCCCGATTTTTACAATGTTTACCTACTATATCGAAAGTGGCAGCCATTTTTGCGGTCAACATTCTATATAAAATTATTGACAAAATATGACAACATTAATATACACATCTAATTAACGTGAATTGTCAAAATATTTTATACATGTGCTAATAAATATTATCATAGTTCTAATGTGCAAAAGATTTTTTTATCAGTTTTCATAAGATGATAGGATTATGAGAGATTTTTATTTCTTATCTTAAAGAAGTCTTACTCTACTGCTTTCCGGCCAAAAAATCTAACATCGGCCAATATCGTAGCAAATCGATTATTTCCGGAACATTATCTTATTCAAAAGCTTGGGCATTATTGGATTATTTATAATCACTCATCCTTAATCGCTATAGTGCTAAATCGGATAATTTCTATACATGCCTCAAGTCAAGGAGTAACAAATCTAAAATGGTATGAAGGTGTCCATAACAAGAAAATTTGTATGAAACGATTTTTTTTATTCTATTGTATCAAACTAACCGCCATATTTCTTTTTACTGTATGTGCTATATGTATAGAATACAGTGGTCGCTCCTTCTTGATAGTTTTTGAAAAGCCTTTTGTATTCTACTATGACGCCATTCAAAAGCTTGCTACTCGGCTTACATACGTGAAGAAATATAGCTCTGGCATTTAAACGATAAAAAATCCAGTTTGATATGCAAGTTCAAGTTGAAGTTATCCTGATACATTTACATAATACGTAAAAATTCCGGAATGTAAAAAAAAAAACATAGAAAAAAAAACTTTTAAGACGCGTATTTGATAACCCTGAATGTTAGACACACCTACGTTATCGATAGCAAAAGTTGGAAATGTAACTATTATTAATAGTAAAAATAGAAACTGAAAGTTAGACATGTTTTATTGAAATAAGTTTCAAAGTTAAATCCAAGTCACCTTGTATAATGTATTTGATATCTTTTTTACGTTACTTAGATCTAATATCTACGGGATCTACTCTAGTCGTAATATATTTCGTATTGTTACGTTCAAACCCGCGATTTTAGTTGTGTTTAATTGACACTCCGGTGTATTTAAATGTTGTTCTAATTTTAGGACAGTGTACTGTGTACACAAAATCAATACAGATTAAGAGTCGAGCAATACATGATGTTTACATATCATAAATATATACAAACGTTTTACCTTTTAACCGCTTTCAATACTGTGTCAAACAAAATTCAATAATCCACTTTTCGACGATTTTGCCTGATGTTACACGTATTTCAATAAGAAATAGAATGTTTACTATTCTATTACTTTTTAATTAAAAAAACTCCTCTCCAATTTCAAACAAAAAGCATCTCTTTCTATATATATATCCATGTTTGTAAAGTTTAAAAATAATTACTGCAAAAGTTAACAACAAACATAATACCAAAATGAAAAAAAAAAATTATATAAAAGTAAGTATCCCGAGCCTTTGCGTTTTCTTTAAATCATCTCCAGCGGTTTTTGTTAAAATCTTTAAATTTCGATAGTGTATAGTGTACCCGTGAAGTACGATTAAACTTTTGTAGATACACACCCAACATGACAATCTTATACCCGCATAATATAACTAAAGTGATTCAAATATTTATTAACAGGAAGTAGAGCTATCGGTAACGAGGAAGGGAAAAGAACTGTTTTCATTTTTAAAAAGCGCTGAATGATGTAATATTAAACTCTTGTCATACGTCTTTTAACACCCAACAAAGACATTTTGTTATATTTATTATTTTAACAATGTCATGCAAAATAATATACAAAATCTTTACAAGTCACACTAAAATTGCACAAAAGCATATAAATGGTTATAAGAATGCAATATTAAAGAACAATTGAATGCGCTTTCGAACAGGATAATTAAATCAGCTGGAAAACATCTATAAAAGTATTTGTGATACTCAAGTCAGTAAAGATGTTAACAGTCATTATTAAGGTATTTTAAACGGCTGATAAATTATATCAGTCAATATGGTAACGGTCGGCTGCGCAAAAATCAATGAGTGGGAGAGTCTACATTCCAATCTTTAAAAAAGGTCACGTTTTGACAGTATCTAGTTCAAGGATAAAATATGTCAAATTAAAGAAGGAATGAAAGAAAAACACCTAAATTATATTGAAAACAAAATATTTGTGATCTCTCGTGAAACTTTATACGCTTCAATAAAAAAAAAAGTTCTAAGGCGACAAATACTGTTCACAAAACCACAGTAAGCATCACATATATGTAAGCAAGGGATGCAAGAGCTGCAAGAGATGCTCTTAAACGTGTTAGCATAAAATTATTAAAAATGTTACGAAAGAAAGTTAAGGTTAGTTGAACAAATCTTTGTACAACAACAGAATATTTTTGAAAGTAAAAACTTAATGAATATCTTCACAAAACTTTTTTTCAAGAATTTGTATAAAAAACATGTTCATTTATATACACAAATAGCACACTCTGGGCTGAACGTATTTCACCTCATATTTGTCACTGAATAATACATTTAAAGCAGCACGTCTCTAGATGATTCATTGTTTATTTTCATGAACATTTTGAAAATGTTTTTAAAAGTAAACTATTGAGAAATAACGAAATGGAAGCAATTAACACGTTACAAGTAGCACTCAGAACTCCCATAAATTACCAAACTGAGGTACAAGTATTCGAAAATAGCATGTACTGCGTTAGTAACGCAGCAGAAATCTGGTTATGAATACCAAAAAAATCAATCATTTATTTCACATATTTTGTAAATTATTACTTCAATCGTGACCCGGTTTTACTTGGCCTAAAATTTTAGTACATTGTTCTCAAGTCTGAATTTATTGAAATAATTTTGCTCATTTAAAGGCATGCAGATTCAGTCATTTGATTGAAATGTATCGTATTACAAAGGAGTTGAAATAGTGTTTTGACCATGGCTCCAAGCACTGGTAGGTTTCAGACAGGACTAAACTAAATGTATCGAAATCAAATAAGGAACTATGGTGTATTAAATGACTTAAATAGACAATAAAAGTATAAAATATGACCAATTGAAACCAACATCGGGAAAATACTGATATCTGCTATTAGACTATAAATTAACTTAATATTATGTTTTTATTGTAATCTTATTTTAAAAGCAATAAATTTAAACAAGAAAGCACGTATTGTTGCTGTAAACATAAAGATTATAAAAATTAAACAAAGGTTCGCATAAAAAATATAACATACTTAACATACATGTAAAAGAGAATGGTAAACAGTATTCAATGTGAAAGTTAAATAAAATTAATTGGCAAATGGCAGAGACACGTTACATTCAGACAAAATATTCACATATCTATGAAGACAGGACAATCAGCTTGTAAGAGAGACATTACACACAATGTTTATGATTGTCAGAGCAATAAGTTTTAAATGTCTACGTTATACTAAAATATACCATAGATAATAAGAGATAATAAGAGGTAATAATTTATATTTTTGTAGGTTAATCTTTCACTCCTTTGTTTACGTTTTAAATATTTTCCTCGCCAATGTAACTAATAAAGGAGTCGGCGAACAATAAAAGCACTGATATCCAATAAGATTGTCAACGCTGCAAATATATTAATACGTTTTGATATTAAATCGAAATGTATCTACAAAAGACTAAAATTAAGTCATTTCCTTATAACTATTTCGTAGCAGAAAATATAAATACAACACACTTATGAGGCCAAAATTGTTCTAAATATATTTTAGGACAGTCAAAATATTGTCCTACAAGTTGTATCCGAAGATAATAGAAGAGTTGTTAACCAATTGCTTTAACTATTCCATTTTATAGAAAATACAAATGCAATACTGAACAGACTTTTACAACTCCAAAAAGGCATTCCATAACCACACATTGTATCCATAGATAATGGAGCTGGCCACCAATATGTAAATACTATATTTTTCAATATCAACTCACCTTTGAACTCGTCTCTCACACATTTCAAGTACTTGAAGAACATTTCGAACCAGGGTGCATTGTTTGTTTTACAATAGAGGTTGATTACTTCCTTATGTTGATCTAAACATTCTTCAGTGCATTCGTTGAATAAATTCCTCATTGTTGAGATCAGATCAAATTCGTCCTAGAATTTGATGATTTCATAAAGCCTTTGTTTTTTATTGCAATCGTGACAAGCTTTGCAGGCATATTCCTGACACGTAACGCAAAACCTGTGAGCTTCTACGTATTTGCCAACTGTGAGGCATGGCGGTTTTTTCTAATTCAATTCTATATGCAATGGTTCAAAGTAATCTTTTCATAGAATTGTAGGTACGAATGATCTTTAGTTCAAAATAAGATATAATCATTAACAGTCCCTTATGTAGTCTTTTAATTCTTAAGATGAAACTATAGAACATATCTTTTGGGAATGCATAAAAAAAATACACGACATTTGTATGGGTAAACTAAACATGTCAAACCTATGCTATTAAAGAAAACAGCACAATAAATGTTGAAATCAATTTAGTTCTTTTATATGTCAAAATATACATTTTTAAATGAAAAACTCATAAAACAATGCTATCTCCTGCTGGTGCAATAAAATATATTTCAAATGTTCTAAAGGTTTGTAAAGAACAAGAACTGTGTCCAAAGGACACGGATGCCCCCACTGACAACATATAATTATGGTATATAGTGAAAAAATCAACAAAGGGCCATAATTTTGTTAAATTTGGTCGCAGCAAAAATTCCTTCCTTTACTTCCATCTACACATTAAGTTTGTTCATCCCTGGAAGTTTAAGCAGAATCTGCCATCCGGTTTAAGAGGAGTTGCATTTACAAAATTTCTATATGGTATATAGTGAAGAAATCAACAAAGGGCCATAATTCTGTTAAATTTGGTCGCAGCAAAAACTCCTTCCTTTACTACCATCTTTGACCTGACAACAGTTAATAATATGAAGACTTGCCTTAAAAAAGACGAAACGTTACATAGATAATGCTATAAGGATTTTAATAATGATGGGTTTAATGTATATGACATGCATTTAAAGTAAGTTACATAATGCCTTGTATCGAGAATGAAAATACCAACAATTTCTTATCCTAATCAAGGCTAAAAGTATTTAAAATGCAAAATATAATAAAAATAATACTTACAGCCTAACATTTATATGATTTTACGCTAAGTACGTATACGGGCAATAAATTTGTTAATTATGGATTGCGACAAATACTAGGAGTTGCTTCCCTTTAAGTTTAAGGTTCATATTTTTGAAAACGTAAAACTATATATGTATTTCCGGGCAGTTGATCTGATTACAAACATAGGGAATGTTCAAACTAATACTTTGGTAGAACTTTCGCATTTGTCAATAGTAAACAGCGCATTATCCCTTTTCCACTTTTTTTTATTAATTTCCAAGTAATTATCTTAAAAATTGAAAAATAAATGCAACCAAAATTATAGAATGTAAAGTTCTATGATAGATAAAAATTGCATGTTTACAAAAGTATATGGTCTTATCCTTGTGGTATGTATTCTACTATGGATATAAATACGTAAATACACCAAAGGGATCAAAGAATCAAAGATGTGGAATTTTGAAAAATGCTACATTCTACATTATCGTATTTGAGAGAAAAAAAACGAATAAAAACCTTGCTGTTATGTAAATGTGAGATTAATTACTTCATGTCAGCAAACAATTCTTTTTTTCTGAAGTGGGACCTGTTATAATTTTTTAAATTGATATTTATACCTTTTGCTTCTTTCAATTTACATGTATATAGTTTAGTATTGTCAAATGTCAATATCTTTTAAAGCGTGACAATAGCTTTCTTATCAGTCTAAAGATTATTTTATGTTTACAAAGCGGAAATAGGTATTGAAAGTCACAAAGAGCAAACACTTTATTTCATCTTATCTTACTCCAGTTTGAAATATTAATTTCTATATCGGAAGCGCCCTATTGTTTCTTTTATTGATCATAATTTCCGTCATTCACGTGAAAAATAATCATTTATTTACGCATGCGCACGCCTCATTTCATCACACTTAAAATTAAACTTCCCCTCTTATCGAGAGCTGTTATCTTTTTCTTCCGCAAGCTAATAATACAATGGCAATTTACTTGCAATAATACTTGAAAGGATTTTAAGTCGATGATACGATGCTCAAATAATTACATGCAAATTTAGTATCTTTATGATTTCTACAATTTTTGTAGTGCAAAAAATAGCAAATATTAACGAATCACTTAAAATCAAAACCCCTTTTTAAATCTCAAAATTATGCAAATGAGAGGATATTAAGAGGTATGATTAAAAGGTTTTCGGCCCGATATACTTCTAGCCACTACACTGACATTTATACACGATACGTAGATACCTTTATCTTATTGAAGATGACTGACCGAATTACACGCGGTTTTACATTGATTAAGTAACATAGACACACTTTGATCAGTAGAGGGGTGTGGCATTTATACCAAATAGAGAAAGTTGAAATCAGAGCTGTCATTCAGTACCCCAGTAAGAAAAGAATGTCCCACAAGGAAATCCATGAAGACTTCATGGATACACTTGGGAAGGAGTCCCCCTCCTGTAGCACTGTGAAAAAAAAA